AAATAAAAAAAAAATAAAAGAGAGGTTCGAGAAACATACCAACCAAAGGCGATGTGTGGACTCAGACCCTGAGTTGTACACAACAGTCACAACAGGGACTACTGAGGACCATCCATGACGCAGTCGAAGCTGTGACTGCGGCCGGGTGGACATTTCAGCCGCGAGGATGATGCTGTGCTTATGTCTCAAAACGGGGTCCTTAGCCTTTAGAGAGAAGTAACGTGAAACGACATGGTGTTTGGAAATCTTCAGGCAGAGTTGTGGGGGGTCAGGAGCAGTGACCTGCTGATGGCGAGGCTGGGACAGGCCCGAGGGAGCTCACAACACTATGCCCACAGTTTCCCACATGCTTGAAGCTTCCCATAGTGAGAAAAATAAAATACAGACTCCAGGTGAACCAGTAATTGAATACTAAAAATAAAATCAGTTTGATTAAAATTACTAAAGTGAAACTGAGAAAATTCCATGCCAAAATAATATGAAAACTTCATTGCTGGATTAAATCGAACCAAAAAGAAATTCAAGCATAACTGAGAAATTCTGAAGTCCAGCTTGGAAAACCTCAAGCCTTGTCTTGAATATAACTGATCCCAAACTGCTAGCAATTCCAGACTTCTAGCAAAAGCAGACAAAAATCCCTTCTGTAGGAAGATAATGTCATCTCAGGTCCCATACAATGGCCAAACACAAGTACTCAAGTGCCATACACAGCATATACTATCGAAGCGTACAGTTATCAAAGGTAACAGGGCCCAGTAAGAGGTAAGACATTAGGAGCGTGAACCAGCGGGAATGAGAGAAAACAGGAGACCCGAGGGGATAACTTGGCACCACCGGGACTGTTGAACAACACGAAAGCCAAACTGGAAACACTTCGGTAGTGACAGCAGATTAAAAAAATAGTAGAAACTAGAACTATAAAATAACCAAATTTAAGAACTCGATGCACAGGTTAACACCAGATTAGCCACTGTAGAAGAGAATCAGTGAACTTAAATGAACATCTATACCCAAGCGTAAGAAGACTTTAAATGGAAAATACAGAAGAAGGCCTGGCTCTCAGAAGGAAGACGCATGGTCCTCGGTCTCAGAGCGGAGGGCGGATGGGCTCAGGCTGTGCGTGGACAGGCTGGCAATTTTTCAAAAGGGACTCAGACTAAGGAAGCCCAATGAGCTTTGCACAAGATGAATAAAAACAAACCCACACCCAGCTCTATCATGGGAAAACTGCAAAGACAAAGAAAACATTTTAAAAACAGCAGGGGTAAGAGTTATTTTCAGAGGAGGAGAGGCCAGCCTGCAACTTCTCAGGCCATGCTGGAAGCCAGGGCGGTGCCGACCTGGAACTCACCCCAGCCCAGCGGAAGGGAAGCCCTCCAGGGATGAAGGCCACAGCAGGGAGCACACCGTTACAGCCACTGTCAGAGGACTCCGGAAGCCACACAGCAGTGGGCGGGCTGCAAGGAGGGGTACCGAGGCCTCAGGGATGACCGGACAGTGAGACCATTTTGTCCCTCCCTTATCCCCCAACTTTGACCTGAAGGCTGACCCCGTTGAGACGCTGTCCTGTGCTGTGTGGTGGATGCAGATGACAAAAACTTCAAGAAAACGCTTTCTTCCCGAACAGAGGGCTAGAAAGAAAGTCTCCTGAGAGCTGGGGAGGGTGTGAGGTGGTGGCCTGTGAGGCCAGCCCCGCTCAGAGCTGCACGGCCACGGTGCAGGAGCCAAGGGCCCAGGAGACGGGGCTTGCAGCAGAGGGTGGCAGACCAGGGGAAGGATGGGCTCTCCAGCAAGGGTGCTGGGCCGCTCGGCTTCCAGAAGTAAAACATATGCCCAACCCAAGTCCTTCTTTGTATCATACACAAGAATTAGTTCTGTCTGTGAAAACTGAAGAAAGTGAAAAATAATTGAAGCTTTTAGACAACAATGTAGAAAGAATATTTATGATATCAGAACAAGAAAGTGTGGGGCCGGCCCGGTGGCGCACTGCTACAGTGCGCCGCTTGAGAGCGCGGGGGTGCTCCCCCTGAGGGTTCGGATCCCACACACAGACCGGCCGCTCACTGGCTGAGCGAGGTGCGGGCGCAACACCGAGGGTTGCGATTCCGTTGCCAGTCCTGGTCTGGTACGGGCGTGACACTGAGGGTTGCGATCCGTTGCCGGTCACGAAAAAAAAAAAAGGAGAACAAGAAAGTGTTTTTAAACGAGGCACAAAGAGCACTGACTATAGAGGAAAAGATCAGTAAGTCTCACACTGGAATGAGGAACTCCTGTGCACCAGAGATACCCCTCAGGAGGCAACGAAGGCAGGTGCCAGAGCAGACGACGTGCCAGACCCACAACCGACAAACGGCTGCTCCCAGAAAGTGCAGAGAGACCCTGAACACCAAAGGGAAAAACCGACCCCAGCAGACAACGGGCAGCAGGTTTGAACCAGCACCTCACAAGAAGGGACCCAAAAGGCAAGCGAAGCAACCAGCTGCGGCAGGTGGGCCACCTCACGTGACCACGGAGAGCCAAGTGAAAGCCCAGACCTGCACATTGCCCCCACACTTGCCTGAGACTGAAAAGTTAAAAGATCCCAACAGCTGGCACGGACAACAGAGCCATGGAGCTCTCATCAGCTCCAGGGAGCGCCAGCTGGGAATGCCCCGCACCAAGGACGGGCGTAGACACGCAGCAGTGAGCACACACGCGTGGGTGCTCATCGCAGCCCTGTGCACAGTGCGGACACACCCAGGCATCCACCCACAGCGGGGACAACGGATGGACAAGGCACAGCGGAACCCTGGGCTTGGAGACTCACAAGCAGCCACTGAGCACGTGGCAGTCACTCATGAGGACAGAGTCCAGCAGCAGGTGGAATCACACCCGGTGCCCAGGGCACACACACTGGCGCACGGCAGTGGTCCCCGGGGTGGGGGACACATGGTGGCTTTCGGTGGCTGCTTAGTCTATTTCCATGATGTGGTGGTTTCCCGGGTACTCATTAAATGAACACAAATGTGTCTTCCTGTCTGCTGTATAGGAGGTATTCAAATATTTTGAAATGTGAGGAACAAAAGCATAAATAAAAATCGCACGTGTGACGAAGAGCGCCCGGTGATCTCAAGAGTGTGCAGAACCACTTGACTTGGCCGAGGGGAGACCATAGGAGGTGCCACAGGCACAAGTCGCCTGCTGCCTGCGGGCGCCTGGTGGAGGGAGGGCACCGCCCAGCCGCAGCACACAGACAGCCAGGAAGGCAGCGGGTGAGAGTTCCGGCAAGGCCCCCGCAGTGTACAGGCCGCAGAGACACTCACGCACCAGCCTGCCCTCGCCCCTCGGGCCCCCCACACCTGGGACACACAGCCTGAAAGAGGAGGAAAGGAGGAAGCAGGCGCCGCCCTCCAGAGCAGTGCACTCACATCCAGCTTCATCAGGGTGAGAAGGTCCTTCTTGGCGGCTCTGAAGATGGCGTCCGTCTTCCTGCTGGTGACAGTCTCATCCAAGTGGCTCTCTGAGTAGTGGAAGACCGCAGAGGGGACCTCTGCAACAACCACATTTCTCTTGGACTTGAGAAGAACAAAGATGATCAGAAGAGACGTGGTTGGGGCGCAAGTGACTTTGCAGACCTGGGCACACAGGCCCTGGTGGTGAAGCTAGACCAAGCCCCACATCCACCCACAGTAGACACCGGCTGATGCCCCTGGAGCATGAGCAAGCAAAGGACAGGGAAGCACCCATGGGGCAGGGCAAGGGCAGAGGCAAGGACCCACCTTGCTGGCCGCAGGGTGCCTGGGGTACTCATCTGGCTGCAGGAAGACCCTGGCACGGTCACACGCCATCCCCAGGTCTGAGGTGGCACCTGCTGGGCCCCCTACAAACAGAGAGGAGACTCAGGACACAGGTGCAGACACCCCCGCAGGCAGGCCGAGCGCATCCTGAGCATCACCACAGACCCCGGCAGACAAGACTCGAGTCTCTCACGGGCAGGGCCATGTCACTGCTTCCCTCTCATGATCTGCCATGTAATGCCCAGCTCAGCCCGTCCCTGTCTCCAGGCCAGGTGCTATGGGTTCTGACAAAGGATGTGAGCTCTCAGTTGCACACATCTGGGTTGCATCCAGCCCAGCATGTAAGCACTGTGTGTGCAAGTGACTTTCCTAAGCTGTAGTTTCCTCGTCTGAAAGGTAGAACCCATGGTACCCATTCCTCAGGGCTGTTCTGCCCAGCACATGGCATCAACAAGAGGGCACAGACGAGCTGCAAAGACAACAACCCGTGGGTATATGCAACACAGGTGAATGTCAACAGGACGCCTCCACGCAAAAGGCGCCAGGCACAGGAGCATGTGCCTTCACGGGAAGCTCTGGCGGAGCCAGTGCCAGAGCTGTAGACGCGCAGACCCTGTGGAGGAGTGGCCTGTGGAAATGGCAGGCAGGCTCACTCTGACCCATGATGTCACACTGGAGCGGGTGCTCACCAGAATTCATGGAGCTGTACGTTCAAGCTTGGTACACGTCAATGTGTGTCACTTAGGATTCAATAAAGTCCTATTATTTTTTTTAAAAAGCCTAAATCTGAAACCAGTCTATGGCCCGAAGGTCGGACAGTGCTTCCTCTGGGGCAGGGAGCCGATGTCCCGGGGAGCTGCTCCTTACAGCAGCCGTGCAGGAGTGCGTCAAGGTGCAATAGCCACAACCTGTCTTTCAGTAAAGCACGTAGCTAAAAAGTAAAGTTTAAGAACCTACAACTGTTGATTTAAAGCAGCTCAGGCGGTCACAGAAAGCTGGCATCAGAACTTTACAGAAATTTACATGATGGGAACGGCCCGTTTTAGAACGGAAGCCACTGGAGTGTGCCCAGGGCAGCTGACCCGAGGTCAGGTGCTCCCACAGCTGCACGGGGAGAGGGCACTTCCCACGAGGGCCTGGCCCTTCAAAGGGGCCTGAACCAGGTGGCTTCCAGAAGGTGCTCGTCTGAGAACCAGCGGGTGAAGAGAAGAGCGAGGGGAGGCAGTGGGGACGCGGCGGGAGCGCAGGCCCTGGTCGGTGTGTGGTTTGATGACGTTAGCGAGGAGCAGCTGTGCCAGAAGGTGACGAGCAATGGGGTTTACTGCCAGCAACCACGGAGACCAATCACCACCAACTTTTTAAAGGTTATAACTAACAGGAAAATACTTAAATCTGGGCCGCTATTTTCTTATCATCTTAATAAGATTTTGAAATGTGTAAAATATGGGACCGGCCCGTGGCTCACTCAGGAGAGCGTGGTGCTGACGACACCATGTCAGCGGTTACGATCCCCTTACCGGTCATCTTTAATTTAAAAAAATGTGTAAAATAATGTACCAATTAATAAATATTTTTGTCCATGCATGGGACCGGCCCGTGGCTCACTCAGGAGAGCGTGGTGCTGACGACACCATGTCAGCGGTTATGATCCCCTTACCAGTCATCTTTAATTTAAAAAAATGTGTAAAATAATGTACCAATTAATAAATATTTTTGTCCATGATGACATACTGTGTATTCACAGTATTAATTTATTTTACTATTGTTATGTTATACGACATATAGTAGTATGTGCTACATTTTATATTATTATTATTAAAATTTATCAATTATAATTAATAAGCCGAGGTCTTATAATACCACTATCTATTTTAAAAAGAAAATCTTACCATACTCCCAGTGATAAAATACATGTAAATTGGAGATTTAAAATTTCTATAGAATGCTGCTATTATGATCACACAGTTTGTAAAACTTAAAATATTGAGAATCTCTGATTTTTGCCAGAAACATGTCCTTTAAAAGTGCATTATCTAGGCCTGCCCCGTGGCTCACTCGGGAGAGTGCAGCGCTGGTAGCATGGAGGCTGCAGGTTTGGATCCTATATAGGGATGGCCGGTTCGCTCACTTGCTGAGCGTGGTGCGGATGACACCAGGCTGAGGGTTGCGATCCCCTTACCGGTCAAAAAAAAAAGAGCATTATCTAAGTGGACAAGAGGAAAAGTAACTATGTGCTTGTATGAATGTTTACTGGATAAATTCACAGAATTGGATAATTTTTGTTAAAATTTTATTATGTGTAGATTGCTAACATTTTCTGTTGTCATTTAAGCTTCTTTCAGTTGAGAAAACTTGCTCAATCTACTTTTAAATACGGTGGGTCAACTGGACGGCCACACAGAAAACGATGTATCTCTTCTGCAAAAGAATAAACTCTGGGTGGGCAATATGGAAGGTGGAACGTTAACTCTCACAGACAGGTCCCTCAGCAGAACACAGGGTATAGTGACCGCAAAAGAAAAAATCCAATGAAATGGGCCCTATGGAATTTTAAAACTTCCGTTCATCAGAAGACACCATTAAGAGTGAATAGTGAGTAGAAAATGGCTTTAATACACACATCAAACAAAGAACTTCTACTACTAATAAGAAAACAAAAGATAACCTCAGAGAAAAATGGGCAAAAGACAAACAATGCTGTCCCGGCAGTGCACTATCCAGTGCACCACCGGGCCGGCCCCGGGTGGCGAGTTTTACAACCAAAATATTGCGGCTGCTGTTACGGCAGGAGTGTGAACGGGCGTTCGGAGTGGCCGATTTCCTTAGGCTCCTTTACCTGGATTCACGGGGAGCTCAGTTTATGGAAATTCACGAAACTGTCCAGTCTGCGATGGGCATACCCAGTGCTCAAATTACACAACCATAAAAAGTCAATGGAAATGAAAAACAACCTGGTATCAGTGAAAAAACAGGCAAACGTGCCGAAAGAACACAAAAGATACCTTAGGAATAGATCCAAGTAATGAAGTGTCCACAACAGGCAAATCCGTAGGGACAGAAAGTAAAGTCGCTTCTTTCCAGGGGCTGGGAGGGGCTGCGGCAGAGGAGAGTGACTGCTAGTGGGAAAGGGTTTCTTCACTGGGTGATGAAAATGTTCTCGAATTAGTGATTGACGCACAATTTTGCGAATACAGTAGCCCCGTTATCCACGGGGGACATGTTCCGAGACCCCCAGTGGGTGCCTGAAACCACAGACAGCACCAAACCCTACGCACACTATTTTTCCTACTCATACATACCTATGATGAAGTTTAATTTATCAGTTAGGCACAGTAAGAAGTCAGCAACAATAACCAATAATGAGATAGAACAATTGTAACAACACACGGCAGCAAAAGCTAGGTGGATGCGCGCTCTCTCTCTCTCTCAAAACACCTTACTGTGCCGTAGGTCTGGTAACAGAGACAGCTACTAAGTGACTAAGGGGTAGGTAGCAGTTACAATTTAAAAGTTACGGGGCCGGCCCGGTGGCGCACTGGATAGTGCGCCGCTTGGGAAGCGCGGCTGGCGCTCCCGTCTCCCGTCCGAGGGTTCGGATCCCACATACAGACTGGCTCCCGCTCGCTGGCTGAGCGAGGCGCGGGAGCAACACCGAGGTTTGCGATCCCGTTGCCGGTCCCCGGTCCGGTACGGGGGCAACACTGAGGGTTGCGATCCGTTGCCGGACACGGAAAAAAGACAAAAGACAAAAATAAATAAAAAATAAAAGTTACGAACTGCTTACTTCTGGAACTTTCCATGTAGTATTTTCAGGCCATGGCTGACTTTGGGTGAAACTGGGGATGAGGGGTCTGCTGCTGAAAATCATTCTCAAAGGGTGAACTTCATGGTGTGTGAATTATAGCTCAGAAAAGCTGTTACTTAAAAAAAAAAAAAAACCCGCACAGATTCAGTAACTTCATACCGAAAGAAGACGGTGCCAAAAAAGCAAGAGAAATAAAGACCGCTTCGTTCGTGGCACTGGGCCCGTTATCACTGCACAGAGTGAGCAGAGGTGAGTCCCCTCGGCCCACACGCAGTCCACACTGCAGCAGGGACTGCAGGCGAGCGGCCTCCATGTGGAAGAGTGCAGTGGGTGCACCCAGGACCCGGGAGCGAGGAAAAAGTCCCAAACACAAACCACCAGGGGCCAAGGGGCTGCTTTTCAACAGGCATCCAGGATCCCTGTTCAATGAAGGTCCCACCGCAGTTTTTTCTGACAGATGAACAAGGGAGAAGATATTTGCAACGATTAAAACTGATGAGGGATTTCTCTCTAGAGCATATAAAGAATTAATGCAAATCAACAAAACAAACTCCAGGAACCCTGCAGAAAATGGGCTAAGAATATGATCAGACAATTCTGAGAGGGAAGCCCGGACAGCCATCGAACGCACCAGGAGGTGGTGAAGCTTGTCAGTCACCCGCCAATGACGAACAGCAAGATTAGGGGTGACACCCAGCAAGCAAGTTTGCAGTGGGGTCATGGCTGCACTGCCAGGTGTGGGCATCATGGACTTCGGGCCTTGCCCACACAACTGCCTTGGGCCCAGCAGCCCAGCTGTGGCTGCACACGCAGGTGCTAGGTGTCTGCCCGAAGCACCCAGAGGTGTCGGCAGAGGCCCCTGCATGTCTGCAGGGTGAGGAAGGAAGGGGAAAGGAAGAGAGCATCATATGATGACTGGTGACAAGAGGGCACGGTGACAACTGCACCTGAGACTCAACAAGTAAAGCAAAGCAGAGACTGAGGCAGGGGAACAAGGAAGCAGCAGCGGCTGGCACCTCTGAGCAGTGTTAGGCTGGAAACCGCATGATGGCCGAGGGGACAGACCAAGCTTGTCATATGTGCTGGGGTTGGCCCAGCAAAGGGGAAGGTGGTGCTGGGCACGGGGCTGGCTATGGTGGCAGGAGGGGGAGGAGGGCGGATGCAGGACCCCAGCAGGTGAAGCATCGTGGACATGGGTGCAGGCTGCTTGGCCAGCCTGGTGGTGTCAGTGACGTGGAGTACCGTGGAGGAATGCACTGGAACCTTCAGGGCAGCAAGACACCCACCAACGCCCAACCCTCCAGCGCAACTGCAGGTGCAGGCTCTCCTCTGCTTACAAATTGCACCAAGCTCAGGGCGCCCACCTCCTTGGGGTGCACGGGAAGACAACAGTGGGTGCCGGGGCAGCTCAGCCCACCCCTCAGACACAGAGAGTCCGTCAGCCATGCCGGCTGAGCAGGGGCGCTGGTTCTTTACCTTGTGGGGCCGAAGGGTCAGAGTCAACTGCCTGGAACTTCCCAAGCTTGACCGAGGCCTCTCTGTGCACGGAAGGCGGAGGGAAGGAGTGGCTCCTCTTCAGCAGGGGCCCAGAGGCTGCTGAGCAGCTGCCTCCATGTGCTGGGGGGAGACAGGCACGAGCCAGCCTCAGTCTCCACACACTCCCATGTCTGGCTCCAGCTCCCTCGGGCAGCTCAGGGAGCAGGCTCCCCACAGAAGCGCACATCTGCACCTCTCAAGGACGGGGACAGCCCTCTACAGTGCCCTGGGCACCTGCAAACACCCCCCGACATGGCCCCTCAGGCCGCCTCCTCCTCTGCACCTGCCTGGCCCCTCACACTCCACCTGCCCACGTGAACGATGAGCGAACGTGGCCTCAGTCTTGTTCTGCTCTGCTCCCCTCTGCACCCCACATCCCTTCTCAACACCCCACTCCAAGGTCTTCCTGAACTAACCACTCCCTGAGTGTCTTGAAAGGAAACTCCTGCTCCAGGGGGAAGCTGCCACTTTTCCCACTCTCAGTGGCATTTCTTTAGTCGAGGTGGCATCGAGGTGGCATTTGACACACCTGGTTTGAACCATGACAAGGCTTCAGCATTTCACCTGTCCCTCAGGTAAAACGAACCCAAACAACCTTCCGGGAAGGACCCTGGCTTTGCCACCACACAGGATGGAGGAAGGTGCCCGCTACACAGACGCTGCCCTCACCAGGCTGTTGTGCTTCTGCAAAGGTCTATTAACCCTCTCCAGCCGTGGCCTCTGCCAAGACCCAGCCCAGGATGGCTGCCCTGCTCCATTTAACACTGACCAAAAGTTCAGGTGAGAAAAACATGATTCAGGCAGATATACTTAAATGACACGTGGTGAAATACACTTCTGGGAGAAACCAGAGCAGCCGGAGCTGGGTTCCAGGGTCACAGCAGTCCAAAGCCAGGACGGGCCAGCTGTGCCCTGGGCCAGGCGTGTGACCTCCTGGGATCTCCGAGCACAGAAGCGGGGCATTCTGGTTTGTGTTTCGTCCATTCTCACCCCAATCTAACAAACGCCACTTTACTTAATTTCCCCATGCTTTTCTCAAACACCCGAAACCCTTTTGGGAACACAACAGGCTACTGAAAAAACAAAGGGCACGTCCCCCGGCTGTCATGGGGCTGTTAACTTTGCAACACACCTCACCCTGGAGGTGACTCATGCAGCATGGGCCTCGCTGACAGGGTTCCCACAAAACCAAACTCTTCCGGAGCACACGCTCTGAGCACAAAGCTGGGGACTTGCCCCTGCATATGGGCATCTCACCCAGGCTGAACCTCACAGAGGAGCCTGGAGAGAACAACTCAAGAATGGAGGGCGAGGTGACGTGGGGCACACGTGAGGCGACTGTGGGGTGCACAAGAGCTGACCTGGGCACACGTGAGGCGACCGTGGGGTGCATATGAAGTGACCGCGAGGCACATGTGAGGTAACCTGGGGCAGTGGAAGGGAGGAGACCCTGGACTCCGGGGCTGGCTGTCACCCTCCCTGGGGCGGGGCGGTACCTGAATCACAGGACTCTGCGGGCTGCAGTGGCCTCACGACCTGCTCTTCGGGACCACAGGACATCTGCCTCTTGGCCCTTCCGGAGGCCACACTGGCTACAGACACAAGAGGAATGGCCTGGCTCTCCTAGGACACAGAAGGAACATCAGTGCTGCTCCAGGAACATCCCTGGGGTCTACCGATGACACTCACCATTAACAAGTGTAAAACCCTCAAGGAAAACTTGAAGCTAGGGCCGGCCCAGTGGCGCACTGGAGAGTGCACCGCTTGGGAGTGCAGCGGCGCTCCCGCTGAGGGTTAGGATCCCATGTAGTGACCGGTTCCCGCTCACTGGCTGAGCGTGGCGCGGGCACAACACCAAGGGTTACGATCCCGTTGCCAGTCCACGGTACGGGCGCGACACCGAGGGTTGCGATCCCGTACCGGTCAGTAAAAAAAGACAAAAAGAAAAAAACAAACTTGACGCTATATCTCAGGTGTTAACAGGCCAGTAATCAACTAGGACATCCAGTTATGTAGAGAGAACTGGTTTGTTTAAGGCAACAAAGATTCAGTCTAGTTTCATCTTAGGCACTACCTAACACACTTTATCAAGTCAAAATAACATCCAAAATAGTCAGAAACCAGATCGTTAAGATGAAAAAATAATGTAGAAAACAAAAGGATATTCCCTAAAATACCAGCATCTGAAGATGACAAAGCCTAAACTATCATCAAAACTAGGGACGGGACTGGCCGACTGGCTCAGCTGGTTAGAGCGTAGCGTTGTGCCACCAAAGTCCAGGGTTTGGATCCCTCTACTGGCCAGCCTCCAGAAAGAAAAAGAAAAAAAAGACACCTAGAGAGAAAATCCAAGCACAATGAGAACATTAATAACTGGCACGTGTCAAACATTTACCAACCACCAGGAACTCTTTCCGAGGCTCTCTTTTCTTTGCACATCCCACAATAACATACGGAGTGCCGTCCACATGCCAGGCACCGTGGGGCCACAGGGAGAAAGCAGGGAGGAAGCCAGGCCTCATTCAGTTATCACAAGAGTCGGCCCATTTCATAGGTTGAGTGTCTGCCCAGGGTCACGCTGCCAGGAGGTCAGAGAGCCAGGTTTCAAGGGCCTCACGCCTTTGATGACACTTCGCTCCCTCTAAACAGATCACACCTCAGTACTGGCTCAACCCCACCAGTTTCTGAGCGATAGAAGGGGTCAAAGGCAGAACACAGAGCCAAGTGCTGGCAAGAGGGAGCCCAAGGGAGAGGCACAGAAAGGAGGTGGTGGCCTCGACTGGATGTGGTGATCAGCTCAGCACGCGGCTTGGTGTGAAGCTGGTAAAGGAAGGTGTGTGCGTGTTCGGGCAGTCAGTGTTTTATGAAATGGAGGTGATTAAAGGTGGTCTTGTCACCGGCTCAAACACCAGACTCTCCTGGAACGTGAGCCATAGGTGCACAATAAGGCCACTTAATCCATCGGGCAGGTCTGCAGGAAAGATGAGCTCTACCATCTGAGAAGGAATGCCACCTTCCCCAAATCTTAGCTGGTCAGAGACTTTTGTAACACAAGGCTCCCGGAGAGCAGAATCAAACCCCCGACTCATCAATTGGCATTTCCTTTAAGGTAGAAAAGTAAACACGGCTTCATCGTCACCTCCCAAAGTCCAAAGTCCTGATGACCAGCAACAAGGAAAGCCACAGCTACGGTTGGTTCTGTCCCTCACCAGGCACCGGGTGCCCTGAAGTCACAGCTAACAGTCTGTTCTGATGCCACATGGAGCAGACACAGGGCTTTGTGACGTGGTGTTTCCATTTACAGGGTTGAAGAGCTCTGTGGTCAGACCCAGGTAGTTGTACAGAGCCAGGAAGGTCACTCTCTGCAGCCGCACCATGATGATCTGCAACAGAGATGACCCATGGGCCCAGCCACAGGCCTGGGGTGCAGGGCTGGGCCACCCAGCAGCACCGCACAGAGCCCTCGAAACTAAGCCCCCTACATTCACCAGGTACAGGACAAACCAAACAGTCCTCGAGGACTCTCAGGGTGTGACCTCCCTTTGGTCTTGACAACTCGCCAGGGTAACATACGATATTAACATCAGGGGACGGGTGATGGGCATGTGGGAACTCTATTATTTTTGCAAGTTTTCTGTAAATCTAAAATTACTCTAAAATAAGAAGTTTAATAAAAATTTTTAAAAATCTCTGTGGGGGAGTAGACGATCCGGAGACTTCTTTGAGGTTATGAGTATTAATTTTTATTGTAAAATATATTTTATAAAATTTAAGAAACAGTATCAGTTCTTCCCACGCCCACTCAGAACTCCGCATGGCCAGCAGTGAGTCCTGTCCGTGTAGTCACCTCCACAACTGTTCTGGGTTCTTTTTCGTGGCTATAAAACTCAGAACTGACATAACAGACTGATAATAAACCTAATCAAATCTCAAGCAGTTCCTAAGTCCTGAACCTAAGAAGCCCCACGACAGCTAGAAAAGTGGACTAGAGACGGGACCCACCCGGGCTGGCCCGTGGCTCACTCGGGAGAGTGCGGTGCTGATGACACCAAGGCCACGGGTTCGGATCCCATATAGGGATGGCCGGTTAGTTCACTGGGTGAGCGTGGTGCTGACAACACCAAGTCAAGGGTTAAGATCCCCTTACTGGTCATCTTTAAGAAAAAGAAAAAAAAAGACGGGACCCACCTGGACCACCCTCACCAGGGTTTCAGGATATTTCTCAAAAACTCCTTGAAAAGCTGCAGCTGGAAGCCGGAGGATGGTGGATGGGACGGCCGCACGGGCAGAGACTGTTTTGTACAGTGCAGTGTGACCCTGTAATAACAGCTCCGTCACTCTCTGTCCCATGGACCCAGCAAAGTTCCTCGAAGCCCCTGGGGAAGCCCTACCTTGGCTTATCACCCACACGGCTCCTCTCCCTTTCCCAGGCTGTGCTGTGGAACAGGGCTGCTTTTGGCACAAACTGCAAACGTGTCTTGATTGTTCAGGAGACCCACAGCAGCTCATCAGGGGATGCTTTTACCTGCTCCCCCATCCCTGAGAATGAGGGACCCGGCATTCCAATATGCACCCCCCACCCCCGGTCTCAACGGTCACAGCTGCCAGTACCCCCTTGCCAAAAAGGCATGTAAGACACCAACCCGTGCAGGTTTCCTCAAAAGACCACTGACAGAGTCAGGAATCAACACTCTCAAATGACTGCACCTCGGTCAAGTCACTGCCTATGATAGTGACCGATCACGAAAAAGAGCCCACTGCCAAGAACTCACACAGGACCCCAGGGGAGGGACCGGCGCTGGTCATCAGCGGACTTGCCGACAGGGCTCCCCCCAGCTATGGACTTTGGGTCTAACAAAAGTCCCTAATGAGTATCTTTTGGTTTCTATCTTCTGGACATTGGCTGACGCTAGAGAGAAAAGACTGTTTATAATCAAGATGTTCACATGCAGTCAAATTTCTGATGTACAGCCTGAGGGTCCCAACCCCCACAGAAACAGAACAGCCTCTGATGGGCTCTCACGGCCCTTCCTCGTCCCCTCCCTCCCACCGCTGGCTCCAGGCCGACCCTGATCTTTACACTTTAGAGTAAAACTAAGTACAGTGCTTTCCTGAGTTCTGAGTTCCTCTAGAAAATTACTGAGTCTGAGGCGGTCGTGGGCATCCCACAACTTGTAGCCAGGTGGTCAGAAGTGTGGGTGGCTTGGGAACCCCAAGCTCACGGCCAACGTGAGGGCAGTCTTTGTGAGGGACTGTGCCCTTAACCTGTGAAGTTTGACCTAAGTCCCAAAAGTGCCAGAATTACACTGCAGACAGAATCTTTTATGTCACCATTCCAGCAGCTGTGGGGTATCTCATTGTGGTTTAATTTTCGTTTCCCAAAGATCACTCATGTGGAGCCTGTCCACGCCGCATATATACTTATACTGAGGCACGTATTAAAACCTTTATTTTTTTACTGAGGTGTTCGTTTTTTTATTAAGTTTTGAGAGTTTTTCAATGTTGAACCCCAAAAGTATCTAAATCAATTTTTTTTTTTTTTTTGTCTTTTTGTCTTTTTTTCATGACCGGCAACGGATCGCAACCCTCAGTGTCACGCCCGTACTGGACCGGGACCGGCAACGGGATCGCAACCCTCAGTGTTGCCCCCGCTCCTCGCTCAGCCAGTGAGCGGCCGGTCTATATGTGGGATCCGAACCCTCGGCGGGAGCGCCGCCGCACTTCCCAAGCGGCGCACTGCAGCAGTGCGCCACCGGGCCGGCCCTGTAAATCAATTTTGATTCAATAAAAATTCAATAAAAAATAAATAAATAAAAATAAAGATTGATACTGTTAAAAAAAAAAGTTTTGAGAGTTCTTTGTGCACTTTGGGTGTAAGTCCTCTATCATATATGTGTTTGGAAATATTTTCTCCCAGTCAGCGGTTTGACTTCTCACCCTCTTTACTGTGTCTTGCACAGAGCAGATATTTTAATTTTGGTGAAGTCCAATTTATCAATTTTTTCTTCATGGATCATGCTTATTTTTGCCACATATAAGAAATCTTTGCATAGCACAAGGTAACGGATTATCTTCAATATTTTCTTTTAAAAGTTTTATACTTATAGGTTTTTAGTTTTCTTTTCTTATTAAAACATAGTTGGTTGTACATACCTGTGGGGTACAGAGATGGCTATCAACACCTGTGTGCAGTATGTGATGCTCCAATCAGGATAATTAGTATATTCGACATCACACAATGTAATCGATTTCTGTGGTGCTCTACCAGCCCCTCCCTTACCCGCCACCCCCTCTCCCCCCTCTGGTAACCTCTAACCTCAGTCCTGTTCTCTCCTTCTGAAAGTTCAATGTATTATTGTGATTGTTGTATCTTTTAGGTTTTTACATTTAGGTCTATGACCCACTTTGAGTTAGTGAGATGGATTAGGGTGCACTCTGCACATGGACATTCAGCTGTTCCAGCACTGTCTGCTGAGGACACTGCCCTTTCCCCAGTGGACTGCCTCTACACCGTGGCCAAAGACCAGCTCGCCATGTGTGACTGCTCCTATTTCTCGGCTGTCTATCCTGTTCCACTCATCTACGTGTTGACCGTCACACCAAGACTATGCTGTCTTGGTTCGTGTGGCTTTACAGGAAGTCTTCAAATAAGGTAGTGTGAACACTTCAACTTTTTTTCAAATTCTTTTTTTTTTCCCTCTTTTTGTCTTTTTTTGTGACCGGTAACGGGATCGCAACCCTCAGTGTCGCGCCCGCACCGCGCTCAGCCAGTGAGCGGACCAGTCTCTATATGGGATCTGAACCCTCGGCGGGAGTGCCGCACTCTACCTAGTGCGCCACCGGGCCGGCCCTTTTTCAAATTCTTTTAGTTACCAGTTTCTTTGTCTTTCCATTTAATGTAATAACCAGTTTGTCTTTTTCTATGAAAAAGCCTTCTGGAATTTTGGCTTGAATTATGCTGAATCATTTGGGGAGATATACTGTCTTAATATTGAGTCTTCCAAGCCATGAAAAGAGAATATCCCCCATTTATTTATTTACTTATTTATTTATTTTTTTAAAGATGACTGGTAATGGGATCTTAACCCTTGACTTGGTGTTGTCAGCACTGCACTCTCCCAAGGGAGCCACGGGCCAGCCCTGTCCCCCATTTAACTTAGGCCGTCTTTGGCTTCTCTCACAAGTTAACGTGAGTTTTCAGCATACAGTCCCGCATATATTTTGTCAAATTAACACTTAAGTATTTCACGTTTTTTGGTGCTATTACAAATGCTACTATTTTTTAAACTGCAATTTCCAATTGTTCATTGATAATATATAGAAATACAATTGGTTTTTGAAGTTCGAGTAGCTTTCTTGTACAGCCCATAGAATTTTCTACCTAGATAATCGCGTTGTCTGTGAATAGAGACTTATTTTTTCCTTTGCAGTCCCTAGGCTTTTCCTTTTTCTCTCCCTTGCTGCTCTGGAGAGGGCCTTGGCACGGTGCTGAAGAGGAGCAATGAGGACGGGCATTCTGGATTGTTCCGTATCTTCAAAGAAGAACACCTGGTGTTTCACCACTGAGTATGATGTCAGCTGTAGAGTTTTTTTTACAGATGTCCTTCTTGGATGTAGGAAGTTCTTTTCCTAGTTTGCTGAGAGTTTTTATCGGGAATGAATGCTAAACTGTCAAGTGCTTTTTCTGCATTTATTGCGATGATCACATGGCTTTTCTCCTTTAGTCTGTTGATAAGGTGCATTGCATTAATTAATTTTCAACTGTTGAAACAGCTTTGAATTCCTGGGATAAAGCCCACTTGATCATGATGTATTTTCCTTTTCTATATATGGCTGGGCTCAAATTTCTAATATTTTGTTTCTGTTCAAGAGGGACACCAGCCTGCAGTTTTCTTTTCTTGCAATGTCTTTGGTTTGGTATTGGGGTAATTAATACTGGCCTCAAAAAGTGAATTGGGAAGTATTCCCTTCTCTTCAATTTTCTGGAAGAGCTTGTACAAAATTAGCATTATTTCTTCCTTAAATGCTGGGTAGAATTCCCCAGTGAAGCCGTTTAGACCTGGAGTTCCCCTTGTGCGAAGGATTTTAGCTACAAATTTAACTTATTTAATAAACACAGGACTATTCAGATAATCCACGTCTTCTAGAGGGAGCTTTGCTAGTACTCTGTGTCTTTCAAGGAGTCTGCCTACTTCATCTAGTAGCTGATTTTACGTGCATAAAGTTGTTCGTGATATTCCTTTATTGGTCCTTTTATGTCTGTAGAATCTGTAGAAAGGTGTCCTTTCTTTTTTTCTTTTTTTGGTGGCTGGCTGGTGACGGGATCCAAACCCTTGACCTTGGTCCTCAGTGTTGCAGCATCGGACTCTAACCAACTGAGCCAACCAGCCAGCCCCAAACGTCCCTTTCATTTCTGATATCCATAGTCTGTGTCTTCTCTTTCTCATTCGTCACTGGTCTGGCGATGAGAGGTTTTTGCTTTTTACTGATGTTTTCCAAGAACCAGCTTTCGGTTTCACTGACTTTCTGTACTGTTTTTCTACTTCGGCCTCACTGATTTCTGCTCTTTACCACTCCCTTCCTTCTGCTTGCTTTGGGCTCCATTTGTGCTTCTCCTGCTAGTTTCTTACACTAGCAGTTTAGATCATTGATCCAAGACCTGTTTTCTAACATAAGCATTTTAGGTTATAAACTTCAACATGTTGTTCAACATTCTGTTTTCATTGAGTTCAACGTATTTTCTGATTTCCCTGTGACTTCTTTTTGACCAATATATTATGTAGAAGTGTATTTTTCCTTTTTTTTTTTTTTTGTCTTTTTTCGTGACCAGTAATGGGATCGCAACCCTCAGTGTCGCGCCCGTACCACGCCCGGCAACGGGATCGCAACCCTTGGTGTCGCACCCGCACCGCGCTCAACCAGTGAGCGGACCGGTCTCTATATGGGATCCGAACCCTCGGCGGGAGCACTGCCACACTCCCACGTGCCACACTCTACCGAGTGCGCCACTGGGCTGGCCCTAGAAGTGTATTTTTTAACTTCCAAATATTTAGGAGATTTTCCATATTTCTTTCAGTTACTGATTTCTACTTTAATTCCATTACAATCAGAGAACATACTTTGTATGATTTTAACTCCCTGAAATTTGCTTTATGGCCCAGAACACAGCATATCTCAGTGCATGTGTCGCACGTGAGACTGTGTGCTGTGCAGGTGCTGGGTGCAAACGTCGATTTGATCGAGGTGGCTGACAGTGCTGTTCAGGTCTTCTGTACCCTTGTTGTTCTTCTGCTTATCCTGTAGATTACTGAGGGAAA